TCAGGAGGAGCAAAGCTGGAACATGTTGGATGCAGAATCTCCTGGGAAGGAGAATTACCCCACACTGAGTTTCCCACACCTGATAATGCCGCATCCAGTGAGCAGCTGGGTGAAAGGAGGGAGAGGAGGATGGCGTCTTGCAAATGAGGCCTTCACTTTCCTTGCTTTGGGTTAAAATAGGCAAAGCAGAAGTAAAACATCTTACTTTCATTATCACAAGTGACATAATTGATTCTGAGCTGAATATTGGATGTGTATGGGGGGATAAAAAAAGCCCAAAGCTATTTTTTATCAGTTTGGATGGAAATCACTTTCTTCTTTTCTTCTTCCAGTGCCTGGGAATTGTTGCCATTAAGTTCTAAAGAGCAATATATGACAGAGGTATCCTCATGAGTGCTGTCCAGCTCCGAAATCCCCTGGGGCAGAGTTTTAGCACGGGCTGCAGGGAGTAAAGATGATGACTTGGTGTTAGAGGAGGAATGCTGCCCCGGGGCGATGCAGAGTGAAGTGTGAGCCCAGGAGTCCCGTGTTCTTTGCCCTCAGAAGTCCTCCAGGTTCATGGTATGTTTTGCATTAGAGAATCAGTGTTGTGTCACCAAAATCAGCCACGTGTCACCAGTTGCTGACAGGGCAATGCATTTGCAGACCCTTTCTGGAAATCCCATGTGTGCCCTCAAATTGGTCACAGGCCATCAAGCCTCAGGCAGCAGAGATCCTACAAGCCCCAAATATTTTCTTGAACTATGCTGGGACACACACCCTTAAAAGCAGACAGGCGTATACCATCTGCTTCTTTTTTTACATGATAAAAACTTGCTCAGAATGGTCACCCAGTATGCTGCCTCTTGTCCTGGGTGCCTCAGCCCCCGTGGTGCCCCAGGGTGTAGCTGCCTGCCTGGGATGCTTGAGCCAGGAGTTCCCCTTCCCACCCACTTAGTGGTATCTGGTCCTCTGGGTGTCTGTGAGCACCCTCAAGGGAGCCAGCCCAGAATACTCTGCTTGGAAGGGGTCCCTGTAAGAGTGCAGGTGCTTGCAAAGCCATGCCAGACGTGTCCATGGGAAACTCCATTTGTGCTCGATGCTGCTGAGCTCCAGCAGAAGAGCTGAAGTTACTGGGACAACTGGGAGAGTCCTGATGCCCCAGTGTCCACCAGACACCCCAACACAGCATTTGGAGTGAGGGACAGCTTTTGAAAGCCATTTTGCTGGCTCTGGCAAGGCTGGATGTCAGGGGGCTGGGGGGGCCTGGGGAGTGTTGGTGGGTGGAGAACTCTTCTCTTGTTATTAATTTGCTGTTTCTTGGCTTTGCACCAGGTTTCAGATTTAAGGGGAGGTTTGCCTTTTTCGTTTCATTGTGGTGCTCTGCAATGACCACACCGGCGGTGTGGGGCTCGGGGTGATGCCTCTGGCTTACCCCCTCCAGCGTCTCGGTGCCACTGGTGCAGGGGGTTCAGCCCACCCACCCAAGCTGGTGCAGCTCTGTGTGTGCACAAACACCTTCCTTTTTTACCAAACTTTGAAAAGAGAGATTTGGATTTCACTGTTGTATAAAAAAGGGCTTGAGGCCCCACTGTCGGATCTCTCAGCGGTTGTTTCTGCCATTCAGACGCGAGCTGGATTTGGAGGGGGCTCTGTGCAGCAGGTTGGGGCTCTCCTCACTTTCTGGGGCCACAAACGCAGCTGGGTTGGGACATCGGTACCTGTTGTGCAACATCTTCTTGATCTAACGATGCTCTGAGAGAACCCCCAGGTCCAGAGCAGCTGCGGTTCCATCTCCTTCTCCTGATGAATCCAAGCTCCACGCTGAAGCGTGTCCCAGCCCTGCGTCACCCAGCCGGAGCGCAGCCCCAGGCTGTCCCACAGCGCTTCTGGTCCTGAAAAGCCCTTGTCCCACTACGTCCAGACCCCGCAGCCTTTGGCCACCCGCCCGGCTGAGCTCAGACCCCATCACAGCCTTCGAGCACAGCCCCTCCGAGCCCAGAAAACAACCAGCAAACCCTTCTCGCCAGCTGCTCCGTGAGGTTTTACTGGGAAGACCCGAAGCCCAGGGTGGACCAGCATGTCCGGAGCTGCTGTGGGACCACCGGCTGGCACAGCACGTCCCAGCCCGTACGGGAGCGATGACTTTTTTGGGGGGAGCAGCAGCCTTTGGTAACCCGAAGGGGATTTGTGCTTTGGGCAGAGCACGGCGCCTTTCCTCTCGCTGTCGCTGGAGGGAGCTGCCCTGTCCGTTCCCGGACTCCCAGATGTTAGGACAAGCTGCAATTCAAGTTGTTGTTAAAAATGAAGGAGCTGGAGGATTCCAGGAGGGGTTCAGATTAAGAACAGAGACTCAGGAATGGCTTTTTCTGCAAAAGGACCTTGGAAGGGCCCCGGGATACCACACGCTCCAGTGTGGGACCTACGCGCTGGAGCAATGGGGTGGCATTGACACTGGTGGGATGTGGAGACTTGCGTGGCAGAACAGGTCAAGACCAAGACACAGAAGAAAGCAGCGGCGGTAGGTCCTTGGCTAGGCAAGATTTGGGGCATTTAGCCTTTTCCCAGCTGGTGTTTGGTGCCAGCTCGTGTTGTCCTCCAAGCACGTCCTGTAGATGCTAAAGATCAAATGCACCACTGGGAAGCAAACCCCAGACCTGCCAAAAAAAATCCCTGGCAATGAATAAATACAGCATAGCTCCTTCAGCAGTTTCTATACGATGCATAAACCCACCTTAGTCTCATCATTTTAGCATCCAGACTGAAACACGGCACTCCAGTATCTGCTGGTGCACCCAGGGACAAAACAAGCTTTGAATTAAGCAAATGGAACATTAAAAATGTATTTCTGAATGCAAGAGTGAGCAGATAGATAGCACAGAGCCAGGTATAACAGGCTGTTTGTGCAATTGTGCTTGGGGCTATCATTAACCCCAGGCTTTTCCACAGGGAAGGAAGACAAGACACAGGAGCTGGGACCACATTTAGGTACATCAGGTATTTATACAGCCGCTCTAGGGGACTAGAGCGGTCTCTTGTCTCTTTTTTCTGCAAGGAGCAATTCAGCTAGTCATGGAAGGGAGTCAAAAAGAAGCACTTGCTATTTTCTCCAGCTCCAGCATCAGGCCACATGTCTGGGATCATGAGCACAGCTGGAGTTTACCCCCATCATCTTCAAGGCTCCTGCTCCATTGCCAGCTCATTTCATTCTTACATATACGTAATCATTCCCCAGAAGCTGCAATAAATGCTTTTGGAGATGACTGTGCATGTAAAACGCTACTACTTATTGGGACTTATCCTGATCAGCTCCAACTTTAATCTATCCAGATAATTCAGACCCCAGCCACCAATCTCATTCAAGGTGTTGGCACAGGGTTTTCCAGCCAGCTACAAGGAATATCTCCCTGGTACAAAGGTCTGCCGCCAGGGAATAAGAAAAGCCAGCTTGTTGTCACTTGTAAACGTGCTGCCCCAGATCCTGATTTCCAGAGGTTCAAACAATTCAGAAGTCCATAAACTTCAGGCTAAAAACCACACCTGGGGGCTATAGCAGGTATTTATCTCCGAGAGCTCCATAAGGCTACAGCTGAAAATTGAGGCGAGAAGGAAGAGTAGTGCTCAGGTCAAATTCCCAACAAGTGAAGTTTCTGAATCCAGAGCCCTCACATAGCTCCCACACATCTTCTGCTGGTAAACCATCAGGCAAATAATCCAGGCAGGACAGTTACAGGCTTGTTTTTATTAAAAGACATCTTCAGAAAAGATATTTTAGTACAAAAAAAAAGTTTAAAATACACAAACTACAGGTGCTTTTTTTTTTCCAGCATCAACATTTATAAATTACACCACATCATTGTTATTAACACTGCATTTAAATATGGAAACAAATTAAAACAGGAAATTCATCAACAAAATCCCACATACTACAAATGACTATTTACAATATTTAGCAGCTAGGAGCTCTAGCACGGTAGTCAATATGACTTCAATAGGGCAGGATGCTTGGGAAGCCCCAAGACGGCAGCTTGGCCCGTAACAGTATTTTGGAACCTGTTTTGCCCACCTCTCCCCAGATACCCACCCCAAAGGCAGAGGCGATGCTGTACATGAGGGTACGCACCCGACAAGGCGGTGCAGCTCTTGCAGAGAAACCCTATTGCCCCCTGGCCCTTCAGAGCAAGTTTTGGGGCGTGCATGCAGGATGGTGCTATTCACTCTGCAAAGCCTGGGGACTCTGCTGGGAGAAGGCAGCCAGCCCTCCAGGCTTCAGGGGGATTTACAGCTGGCAGCAGGGCTCGTCCTGCCCAGGGACAGTCACTGCTCTGTACCTGTGCCCTCCTAGTGCTCGTCCTAACCACCCCCAGCAACACTGGTAGGCTCCAGGCAGAGCTTAAGACTCAGCCTTCCAGGATCTGGCCCTCATGTAACCAGCTGCAGGATCCCACACATTGTCTCCTAGAGCTGGAAGCAGTTTCCCCAGATCCTGGCAAATTCCAGCACAGCCAGAAATACAGGGCTTTGAAGCCCTAGGGGCCAGGGAAGCCAGGTAAGCCTGAGGTCCCCCCGCTTCTGCACAGGGTGTCCTTCAGTCTTCCCACCAACACGCATATTCTCAGAGCGTTGAAGTCACTGGAGCAGGGGCTGTGCAGATGGAGCAGCCTGAGGCTCACTGCCCCACGGCACCAGCCAGGGAAGGAGACTCTGGGGGCTTTCACAGGAGGGTACATAGGACATCATTTGGGAACAACAGCGAAAGACAGGACACGGCAAGGCTCCGTACCCAACACTCGGGTCCATGGTAGTGAAACGCTTCACATGCTCCCCTTCCACCCAGCCCCAGCTCATCAAAACCAGCACAGAAGTGTTCAGACGGGACAGAAAGCACCAGACAACTTGAACTTGCCACAGCAGCACGTGGCAGGTTGGAAGACCCTTGTGCATGCTCTGCAGGTGGATCTCCCTGCTGGTGGCTCCTCTTCTGGTTTGGGAGCTCCCATCCAGGGGTTTCAGCAACATGGAGCTGTTTTACTTATGGTGAGGAGCTGTGTCATGCCACTAAAGGGCTGCTAACCAAGAGAAACGCTCCTTGGGGGACTTCCTGGGGAGGGTAGGTTTGTTTTCTGTAAACACCAAGTGATGGAGCTCAGGTCTGTGCTCCGCAGAGAAGGTCAAGTCTCAAGTGGCAGCTTTAGGGCTCTGCTTCCAGTGCTGCGGGTTGGATTTTCATGGTGGTTGACTTCAGTGGGTAATACCTGCCTTTCCATGTCTTCCAGAAGATGCCCTGCTTGCGCTCGTGCCGCTGGCGGGGGATGGATCGGAAGTACTTCCCGTTGAGGTTGGCATGGCCACAGGTGCTGAACCACCAGCCACCTACCAAGGCAACGCAGAGGCAGTTTTAACCCACAGCACTTCCAGACAGAAAACAAATCCAGGTTCAAGGCAGCTGCTGCCCCCATTTTCCCCACTTTTCCAGGGCTTCGGGACCACCTCGTACACACTTGAGGAGTCCCATGCCCTGGGAAACCTTTGCACAGATCCCGTATGACTTCAGGATGCGTCTGCAAATCCCTGCTGCTCTTTCTTGCATGCAAAACCCCCTCAAAACCCTTCAGCAGTCCCATCTCAGGCCTGGGGACTGGCCTCTGCTTCGCTTGAAACATTTCCAAGCAAGGTGGCAGCCAGCAAAGCTGTTACGAAGACAGATGCTTGGGCCAAGACCCGAATCATGAACCCCTCCTGGTTTCAGCTTCCCTCCTGATTCCCTGCACGGCTCCCCCAAGGATGCAGCTTTCCCAGGGAAGCAGGGGACAAGTTGGGCTCAACACCAAAGGGGTCTAGTCCCGCGGGGTCACTGTCCCACTCAGGGCCACCACCAGAGAGCGGAGGGCTGAAGGAAAAGTGCACGCCACTGGGAAGGAAGAGCTTGTACTGACCTGAGAGGTGTTTGGCACAGTTTGTGTCAGCTTTGAGGTCGTGGTCACGATCCCGAGTGGAGAAAGGCAGCTGCCTGAAGTCCCCGATGGCATTTTCCAGCTCTCCAGACAGAGGTCCCAGCAGGTTGAGCATGTAGGCTGTGCTCTCACCACCAAGGCTGAAGACAAACTGAACCACCTGGGAATTTCCCTCCCAGTCTTCCAGCTCAATCAGGAGATTGTATCTTCCCTCTTGGACAAGGTGATGTATCTTCTCCAGGCCCAGCCAGAAGTCACCTGAAACAAGACACATTGCATTGGCTGCAGGGACAAAAACATGCTGTGAGTCCTGGTTTCAGCTGGAATAATTTCCTTCTTAGTAGCTGGTATAGTGCTGTGTTTTGGATTTAGGATGAGAATAATGTTGATAACACACTGATGTTTTAGTTGTTGCTAAGCAGTGTTTGTACCAAGTCAAGGACTTTTCAATTTTTCACGCTGCCCTGCCAGCAGAGGCTGGGAATGCACAAGAAACTGGGAGGGGACACAGCAAGGACAGCTGACCCAAACAAACCAAAGGGTATTCCATACCCTATTACATCATGCCCCATCCCACAGGGGGCAGGGGGGTCCAGTGTATAAACTGGAAGGAGTTGGCTGGGGGGCACCACAGCTCAGGGATTGGCTGGGCATCAGTCCGCAGGTGGTGAGCAATTGTGTTGTGCATCACTTGTTCTGTATATTCTCGTAGTAGTAGTATTTTCCCTTCCTTTTCTGTCCTATTAAACTGTCTTTATCTCAACCCATGAGTTTTACTTTTTTTCCCCCCAATTCTCTCCCCCATCCCGAGGCAGGGTGAGTGAGCAGCTGCATGGTGCTTAGTGGCCAGCTAGGGTTAAACCACGACACCGTGCAAAGCCAAAACACGAACAGGCTCCGGAGACAAATAGGGACAACCCAGGACACTGCAGCATTTGAATCGCTGTCTGGTACCTGCAGGACAAGTCAGGAAGACCAAGGACTCTTGCTCTGCAAGCAGTATCCCCCCCTCCTCAGCCCAATGCTGTGCTGCAACACGTAGAGATCTCCAGGGGCCAGCAAGGGGGAATAACTTGTACTAAGATATCACAATAAGAAGACAGACACTGTCGTTCACCTACCGTGAAGGTCTCCAAAGCCATTCTTGTAGGCATCCCAAAGCTGGTCAAAGTCCACAGAGCCGTCTGTGCGCCTCTGGATCACTGTCCAGCCACCTTCTGTGGACCGGAAAAACACGGTCATTTGGGGTTAGCATTTGCAAGACCACCTTGCAAAGCGCTGCGGGACATCTCCACTGCTTTACCTGCAGTCATGTCGCAGTAGACTTTGAAGGGCTGAGACCCTGCAGGCTGCACCTGGAAAACACCGCTGCTTTGCTGCCCAGCCAGGAAGAGCTGGTGGCAATCCTCTGGAAGCTCTGTGGGGGAAGGAAATGTTGATTAAGAAAACAGCCCTGTGTCCCACTTCCTCAGCAGGCTGCTCCTACCACAGCCCTGGCACTTGCAGCCCTGGCCACGAGCCTGGCCAGCTGCACACAGCAGTGGCTGCGGCTCTGGACATGCGCTGGAGACGACAGCCCCCAACTTCAGCATCTTTAAATGCCGTGACCCCATACCTTCCCATTTATCCGAACGCAGCTCCTTGGGCTTCTGTCCAAGGCAGAAGCCAGGCGTTGGGCCAGGCTGGGGTGACCTAGGCTGGAGAGCAGAGCTCCCCATTGAGGAGACACCCGAGGAGCTTCCCAGCTCTGTGCCCACAGCAGGCAGGAGCAGCCCATTTGGGGTGGAGTAACGCCTGTGGCCAGCCAGGGCCAGGCATCCCCACCCCACCCCAAGGCTGAAGCAGTCTCGAAGGGCCTCAGGGGAAGAAAGAAACCCCAAGTCCTGCCACCAGCAAGGCACCTGAGCATCCAGCACACGACCTCTTGCTCCTGGTGACTCTGGTGGCCCCAGCCAGATGTCCTGCTGGGCAACTTGCCACCAGCAAGCCTGGGGCCAGGCTGGGGTAACCCTTTTGCCCAAGACACCAACGGGGGCAGGGACGGGGTGGGGTGGGTGGACCCCAAGGAGCCCAAGCTCATTGCACGAGTGGATTGCCTGGGATGAAGCCAACCCCCAGCTTGCCCCCCTCCATCCCCACGCCAGCCAGGCTCCCACCTCTCTTTCCGCCCCTGCGGGGACTTTGCCCAGAGCTGCCAGCAAAGCACCGTTTCAACAGCGCTGACAAAAGTCCATCCAGGAACCACCACCCGCAGCACTTGGGGAGAGACAGGGACGGTGCGGGGCGGGGGAGAACCTATTACAAAACCCAAGTCAAAAGGCCGCAGGAGGATGTGCAGGGACTTCAGCCCCCAGGCTGTGAGCACAGTCAAGGGGCTCTTTGTCAGCCGGGACAGGTGCCCCCATCACCCCCAGACAAAGGGGGTCTGTTCTCCCCGCACGAGGGTGGGATGGATTTTGGTGGCTCACAGCTGCTGCCAGCACGACCCCAAGACAGACGGGTGAAGAAACCTAAAGACAAGCCCCAGGCTGTGCTGGGGTGCTGGCTACCCCCCCAACCCTGCTGTGGGGTCCCCCTTGCAGTAGCTGCCCCTGGGGTCAGGGCTGGCACCATGACCTGGGGTGGCAGCAGGGAGAGGGGCCTCCCCCACGACCGCAGGGTTTTGTGTGGGGCAGAAGCGGGGAAAATGGGGCCTTTGAGCTGCTGAGGACAAGAGCAGCCCCCGCGGGGCATCGGCCCCTGCCCCATCCTCTCTGGGCACCCAGGGAGCCCCGATGCTGCGTTGGGGTGAAGGGCAAAACCACAACTGGAGGAAAGGTCAGTTGGGGGGACCCAGGGGACGGCAATGTGACTCCTGCTACCACCTTTCACCTATTTCTCCCCAACCCCAGACCCCTCTGGTGAACTTTCCCCTCCTTGGCACAGGCAGCCCCTCTCCCACCGCCTGCAGCAGGACAGCCCCACAGCCAGCATGGCCGGACTCACGCTGCCCTTAGCATCCCTCGGACCTCCGAGCTGATGCCAGCGCAGGACTGCTGCCACCATGGGCTTGGTGGGCTCGTCCCCACGGGATGAGCATGTGACCCTGAGCCCTCCCCAAAGCCTGTGCACATGTGGATCGAGGGCGAGCGTTTTGCACGAGGGATCAAAACCACACAAAGCCACCCCGCACTGCGGGGAGGCCAAGTGCATCCCCAGTATCCCCACTTTCTAGGTGAATGCAGCCAGGGAAGCCAAAGGAGGCTCAGGGGAAGGAAAACCCACAACCTGACCCCACACCCACAGCTGCACCAGCCCTGGCTCACAAGCGCTGCTGCGGGGAGGTGCTGGGCTCACCCAGCCTCACAGAGCTCCTCGCCTCCTCTCCCACCATATCTCCCAGCATCAGCAGGGCAGTGCCTGGGCAGAAGCTCAGTGGCCCCAGCATGCAGAAGTCAGCCCCATCCCTGTTTGTTTTTTTTTTTTTTCTGGGCCCTGGCCACACTCAATGCACTTGGATCTCTTCTGTTTTCCTGGTGCAACAGGGACTTTCAAGCAGCTGAATGAGATGCAGCTGCTTGAACAGCCTCAGCTCAATCTTTTTGTTTGAGGAACATGCTCGTTAGTTCCAGTTCATGTTGCACATCCGTATGGCACCAACAGAACAACAAGACCTCCTGGCTGCTCTGGATGTTTTTCTTTCCCTCCCCCTTTATTTAGCCAAACAAGACAGAAGAATCAACAAGGCTCACTGGAGCTGCCCCAGGCATGGCACCGTATTTACCCAACAGGATCTCCAGGCATGACGAGAGGTCACCAACCTGGGATAAACAACCTTTCTTGCGGATGGCAGGGCATGCCTGGAGCTGTTTGCATCACCCTCCGCCTCACCCTCCCCAACCCAATTATTTTGGAGTCCCAGCGCCACAGGGAGAGAGCGAGCAGGGCTCTACCTTTCCCCTACTCGGCCGGCTGCCAGAAAGCACAGGCTCTGCCTAAAGACCTGATCCTCTTTCTGCAAGTGATTAAACCTTTCACTCTCCAGGCTGCTTCAAGCCTTCAACTTTCACATGCTTGGCCCCGTGCCATCTCTGGCCTGAAAAAACTTGTGTTCGCTGGATGCAAATAAAAGGGTCTTTCTGAAAGGGCTGCTGGTGGAGTTCATCGCTCTTCCCCAGGGCCATGCAGGCACTGCAGCTCTGCCTGACAATAGGCAGGGAGCTGCCGGCACAAGCCTTCCCGGCACTTGTCTGCTCTGAAAGCAGCCACAAGCCTCCCCAGGCAAAGGGCACAGGGCTGGCCCGCCAGATATTGTGTGCTTTAAGATTTGCCAAAAAACTCACTCGACTTGCTAATGAGAGGAAGCCAATTTGTTTTCTGTCAGTGATACCAACATCAGGGATTAGGCAAGAGAAGGGGGAGCTCACAGCTCAGCCAGGTGGGAGGGAGTCGGGATGCCCGGGGCGCTGGGGATGCTCAGGGTCTCCCCATCAGGGACAGTGGGGTGCTGAGCTCTCACCACCACCCCCCCACTGCCTCGTGGCATCCCCAGGGGCTGTGGGCCCTTGCTGCCTCCCACCGTGCTTCACAAGGGTTGCTGCACCCAGCACCCATCAGCTGGTGCAGAGCCACAGAGCCTACATCTGCCACCAGTAAGTAGCAAAAACCCAAACCCATCACCCTGCACCCCACTTCTAGCATAACCTGAGAATGGAGCAGGGGGGTCGGACTAGCTGGTTGGACTAGATGACCTTTAAAGTTCCCTTCCAACTTAAACAATTCTAGGATTCTATGACACACTACTGAGAGCAAGCCACAAAGCAGAGCTGGGAAAAAATGGTGGGGAAAGAGGTTTTGAGACAGTTTTCTGGCTCACTAGTGCTGCTCTGACCGAAGGAGACCTCATGTAGCCCCACTGTGGGCTGGCCAGCCCCACTGAGCCAAGTGCCAGGAGGAGTTTGGAGCCCCACATCCCATCTCTGTCCTTGTCCGTACCAATTCTGCAGCTCTTTGTTCTGCTCGCCCAGCTTTCAGGCACACTGGTGACAGCTCCAGGCTCCACATACAAATTACTGTGTGTTTTCCCATAGCTATACCTATATTAAGCCCTGGGCAGGATTTCCCCATGCATCCTTACCCTGCCTGGTTTCTGTTTGGCTCACACTGGACATCCCCAGACAGCTGCACAGACAGAGCCAGCACCGTGATTTAGCTGACATAAGAGCAGCTGCTCCTGACCAGCAAACCCTGCAGGGACACCAGTTCCCGTCTGGGAGGGAGGCTGCGGGACTCAACGCAGCTGGGGACACCCGCTTTGCTGCCCTTCGTTCTGCGGGAGCTCCTCCAGCCTCCTTGCCGGCAGAAAGGATGCTCCAGGCAGAGCCAGGAGCTCCAGATGTGGCATCCACTCGTCTGATCTGGTTCACGTTTCCCAGGGCTGGGAGTGCCCGGTGCCTTCACTGCCCAGGTGTTTGCTGCACCTCAGCACCTTCTGCTGAGGATAGTGTGAGCTGAGGCACTTGTCTTTCATGTATGAGCCCTAAATATGAGCCAAGGGAGATGGACGCACAAGGATCTAGCTCTCCTCTCATGGTCCAGGGCTCCCTAACCCTCTGCTCCACCAGCAGGCTGACTGAAAAGCAGACTCTGCCTGGTAAAGTGGGAGCAGGTGAACAAGAGTTAACTCCAAGGAGCAGAGATCCTCCTCTCCTGCTTGCATTCACCCCCCCACCTGCCAATCCTCTTTGACAAATAGCCGCTAGCAGTGTTTGTCTGCTCCTCACTGCATTCTTGATATCAGGCAGAAAAATTCCTCTCAAATCCTTAAATTCCTACCCGTGCTCCAGATCCCCTCAGTCTGGCCAAACTCCCAAGCTCCGGTTTTGTGAGCACATCTCACATCCTGACTCAGGACAACTGAACCTTTTGTTTCCAAACAGTTGCAACTGCAGCAGGTTTGCTCCAGCACGGAGGAGAGGGGCAGCATGGGCGAATACTCACTCTGTGTCAGCATGGGCTCCCCGCTAGTGTTCTGACTCTGGTTGGTGAGGCTGAGGCTTTTCTTCAGGTTTATCTTCCACTTCGGCGACTGCGTTTTGTTGTCCTTCAGGTGTAAGGGGATCAGTAGATTGACCTAAAAAAAAATATGCACAAGTCAGAACAGTTTTATCTCAGCTCATTTTCAACACTCAGGGGAGCTGATCAGCCAAGCCATCAGCTGCTCCCCTGTGACCAGAGCTGGGGCTGAACTTGCCCAGAAACCTCAAGGAATAAGAGATACCAAAGGCTGGCAAAGCCAGAAGTGATTGTGGTTTTTCACACCCATGCTAATGAGTTTATTCTGCAGATAAACTCAAAGAAAGAGCCCGGAAAGGGTCTGTTCCCACACACTAATTCCTCCTATTGCTCCGTGCAAATACTCAGGGAGCTTGCAGTTTGCTACCCTTGCACCAACACTGCAGCACAAGGACCAGGGCCATGGCCTTTGTAGGGTCCCCAAAGCCAGGGAGCAGCGGCACAGCCGGTTCTCCAGTCACCAGCGCACTGTGCCAGCTGGGCTGCCACGGCGGTTCATGCCAGGACCAGGCTGCGGTCCCCAAGCCGCAGAGCGGGACAGGAGCTCACCTTGCTCTGCAGGCTTTTAATTTGCAGATTCTGCTTGTCCAGCTTGTACTGCTGCTGCTTGATCTTCTGCAAGAGCTCCTCGATTCGCAAGTTCTGTGCATCCATCAGGGACTGCGGGGGGGTGGGGGGGAAGAGCCAGGTGAACCCCGCAGCTCTGGGGAGATCCGCCTGTGCCGCACATACCGCACGGAGCCAGGTGGGCCAGTCCCCCCCAGATGCTCCCGGTGCCCCCAGGACCTTCGGGCCTGTGTGTGTCCCCGCTTTCCTGAGGCCGGCCCCCACCCACTGCTCCCAGCACCCCAGGAGGGTCAGGTCCCCCGCACCCCTCCGGGCTGCCCCCCCCTCCCGCTGTGTCCCGGGAGAGCTGCTCCCCACAACTGCCCCGGGAGGGTCGGGTCCCCCCCCCATCGCTCTCCCGCGGCCGCTCCCGGCAAGGCAGGGCCCCCTCCCCGCTTCCCCCCAGCCCGGTCCCAGTACGAGGGGGAGCTGGAGGGGGGTACCTGGTGGTCGTGTGTCGTGTCCCCCCGCCTTAGGTCGCTCCCGGTGCCTGGGTGGGTCGGGTCTCCCCCGCCTCCCCCAGCCGGGTGTGTGTGTGTGTCCCCCCCTCATCGACCCTCACCTGCAACGCTCCCAGGTCCTTAGCGCTCTGGTTATCGACCGGCCTCGCCTGCAACACTTGCCGGACTCGACCCTCCAGCTGCTCCAGCCGGCCCTGGATCTGAGCTTTGTCGGCCGCCACCTCCTCCAGGCGTTG